TTATGATGTTGGGGGCTTTTGGTGTTTATATTCCCATTTCTTGATCTATAGCCTAGGGAAAAATAAAAATAAAAAGATCGGTTTATCTTTTTACCATTCGTTACAATAGATTAGAACTATAGAGAAGAAAATGAATATTGTTTTATTTTTTTTTTTTTGTGTGTGTAAATTTTCAAGATGATTTTGTTTTTATAATTAGACTTAGTTAATAATCTCAAGGGTTTGTACATACCATGCTGTGGGCTATATGCATATACATAAAATTCAATTCTTGGGAAGGTTAATTTGGTTGGTATTGAGGAACAGTTCTAGCTGTGTAAAAAAAACTAAGTATGGTGGGATTTACTTGTTTGAGGTCACTTTCAAAAGCCACTTACAACTATCATTTTTCAAATTTAGCACATCAATTTTCAAATTCAGCATCATTGGCTGGCAGTAATAAATTTTTGGTGATGCCTAAAAGGAGAAAAAAATAAAGAATTTTTTTTCCAAAGGGGTTGCTATAGTAATTATTGGGTAGTTGAAAAATGTTAATCTTCTGCCTCACATCATTTCTGCTGTCATAGATAAAGATTAAGAAATCTGTACAATGTTGTTGAAACTATTCAATGCTTTGTCCTACAGTAAAAAATACCTGTTAGGCATGTGTTAGACATGTCTGCCGGTCGAACAATCATAATTGTTTTAACATTTTTCGAACATATATGCATACTTTCAAACTGAAATGTCATATTCTAAAAAAATATAAAAAACGAAAGCATGACATTTTATAGTACAAGTATGCATTTTTTAGTTCAATATGTGTGCCGAGTCGATCCGCCTAACGGTTAGGCCGACTCACACAAAAAATTTGTTTCTTTTCTAAAAAAAACATATATTTATATATATTCTGCTCCTTTTTCTGCTTTAAGGCCCCTCTAGCTAGAGCCCTGACTCATTTTCTGAACTTCTAAGGTGAAAAATCTCATACACATTACACAGACCTTCTTCGCAGTTTGGCATTTAGTCTACTACATGCAAGATCGGTGTCAGTTTCAAGCCTTTCAGCTTTTCAGACCATAAATGAGCATCTTTTTCACTTAAACAAGAGTGAAATTTCTAAACATCATTTTCACTTATGGTCAATATGTGGTCCGCCAATTTGGTACACCAATTTATTGTCAAGAAAATCATTCTTATGAATGAAACACATTATGATTCATAATTTTATCTTTAAAAAAAAAAGAGAGAGAGTTAATACTTCCCAAATACAACAAATTATGCATGATTTTCGACATGTTTGCGCTTCGCGATACTCGTTTTGTTCAAGGTCTATAGGGTGCGAAATAATATGCTTACTAATTTGATGTGGCGACATATAATATACAATTGGTATGTCGTTGAAAGTTGAAAGATCACGAGATATTGAACACGTGACAGATAGACACATCTTAATGTATCCACGCTGAGTATGTAAGCAAATCTGATGTACTTAGTCCATCCGTTTTTTAATATGACTTAATTTTAAATATATTTATTAGATTATTTTTTTTTTACTACCAAATTTTGTAGAAATTCTTTTGAACACAACTCATGCAACTACATAAATCAAATGCGTCTTCACATTGATATTATCTTTATTTGGATAAAAAAAATTATTTTCAAGCGTTTAGTCAATCCCTGTACGTTTTAATAATTTTATAGCATTTATTGTGTGGCATGAAATAATTTATTTTTATTTTTTTCTAAGAAAAAATTCAAATAAGAAGCTTTAATTAGAATTGGTGATAAGGATATAGCTGGTTTTTGGCGCGTGTCTGTACATAAAATGGGACATCATATGGTTCCCCACCTATCAAATCTTGCCTAAGAACTGCCTAACTCTTACTCTAACAAAACTAATTAATGCCTTGTTGGATTTTTGTCTTCAATTCTCTTAAAAAAAAAAAAAACCAAAAATAGTTCAAAATTCCACGGTTTTGTTGTGGAGCCATCAGATGACTCGTCTTATAGAGTCATCTATAGTTATCCACAAATAGTGTATTGACACGTGTCATGCAATAAATACACATTGGACACGTATCAATACATAAAGTTATGGATGGCTCCATAAGGAAACCATTCGAGGGCTTCATAGAATTTCTGCAAAATTCCAAGCACAAATGAACATTTGGCTATGGATATACCTTTATCTGCAATATTCTGAAATTGTTTTCAAAAAGAGGACAATGGATGATAAATTTTTAAAGCAGGGCCTCAGTTTGAATTCTTGAGAGTTGACAGCTCAACTAAAATATTAACAGTATGTAACATGGATACCATGTTCTGTATTCTTTCTATGGAAAAATATTGCCATTAGTGGGGACTAAAATGCAAGTTTCCTACAGCTAATCATTTTTTTGCTTGTGTGCGCTGTCTGTACATATGCAGTGTCAGTAATAATAATACCAAAGTTCAAGATAAAATATCAAACTCACAAAAAATTGCTGGGTGGATTTGTGTTTGTGGAATCACTCTACCAAATTCAAGATAAAAAAATACCAAGTTCATAAATTGAATTGGTGTGAGATTTGTGTTTTTTTTCGAATCACTCGACTATTCGTCGTGGGTTGATTAAAATGTGTCTATCTCTGATGTATCAAAATTTACACAAATTTTAGATACGTATTCATCATGCATTGTGTGTAATTTTCAATCACGTCAGTTTGTAGATATATTAACTTGTGCTCACAGTAAAAGTACGAGAATTTCACAATTCTTGACTACATATTTATCATGTAAGGGCGTCTCCAATGGTTAGCTATTTGGCTAACTATTATGACGTGGACAGGGGAAAAGTAAGAGAGAGAGTAGTCACTAGCTACTAACAAATAGCTTATCTATTTCACGTAGCCCAAGATCATGTGAGAGGAGTACGTGGGTCCAATAGTGTAAAATAGTTATTTTTCTTATCTCTCACATCCACGTCAGCTAACTATATAGCTAGTAATAGCTATTACCATTGGAGATGCCCTAATGTGTGTAATCTTCGATCACGTCAACTATATTAACTTGTGTTCATTGTGAAATTCTATTCACATACAAGTCAAGACCTTAAATAGGAAAAAAAGTCAAAGGAAAATAGAGAGGGGCAAATAGGTAGGTTCCTTGGAAATTGGGATGAAGTTACCATGGACACCCTCAATTACCTCGAGTAGGGAATGAAATTTTCAATTTTTTTAAAGGTGTGACTTGTAAATCAAGGTAATTATGCTTGCTAAAAAAGCAAATCAAGGTTATGATTGCTGAAAAATTGGTTGAAATGTGAAAAAAAAAAATATATGAACTGATAAATCAGAAAGATATTAAAGAAAACCTATAGGTACATAATTGAGTTTGTAAGATTTTTGGGTCTAGGTATATATTTAAGTATAAAATCTTGTGCCTAAATTTTATTTTAGTGATTGGAAAGAAAAAGAGAAGATAAATTAAAGTGTACCATAAAAAAAAATTATGATTAAATGCTATAAGATTAGACTTTCAGTTTGTACCAAAACAAACCATGTTCATGCTAGCTACATCATTGAAAATGCTTAAAGTTTCACAGGCATTATAAATAAAATGACAAGTAAAAATGGCTGAACCTTTCATAAATCCACCTGATATTCCCAAGTTAATTTTCAAGTTATTGGACTTTTTATTAAGACAAATAATGGAAAAAATTGAATGAATATAGAGTTGAGTTGTCCATATACACAAATTCTATGGAGCCATTCATAACTTTATATACTGACACGTGTCCAATGTGTATTTATTGCAGGACACGTGTCAATACACCATTTGTGAATAACTATGGATGACTCCATAAGCCTAGTCATCTGATGGTTTCATAGCAAAACCGACTCGATATAGTGATAGTAGCGAACAAAGTGGGAGGGGAGGAAAGCATTATCACGTGGACAAAAGTGAAGAGGAGAGCCCATGAGGTTTTGCCTCAATTTCTTAATCAGCCTATTAGCCAATAGTAATGTTCCAAGTGAAATTCGTACCCCATTTGTCTAATTAACATGATTGGCACATGACATACACCCCA